TGATTCTGTGATCCTATGACCTAGACACAATTAAAGCTGAATTGCGTTTGTGAAATGTAATGATTGAAATGTAGATGTAAGCGTGAGTTGTTCACCTACCTACTGATCTGACTGATGCATTGTTTTCTGTTTATTTTTAGTCTTCAGCTACTCTTCAGGGAATGAATTCTTTATCATTCTTCCTTGCGCTAGGAAATCTTATTTTAATAGATTCAAAGTGGGTGGGAATATTTATCTGCTTCTCTGTCTCAGACTGCAAGTCATTCAGGTTCTGACACACAATTTCCTCCTTTTTCCAGCCAGAAAACCTTATCCACCTCTTCTATTCAGAACGAAATCCCAAAGAAGAAAGCCAAGTTTGAGGCCATATCTGCCAATGGTGACAGGTGAGCCTCTTCCATGGGGAAATTGTGGGTGGGTGGTCTTGTTTGTGAAGTTGATACCAAGTTGTCTGTGTGAGTAGCAGAAAGCTCCAACGCTAGAGCCGGGATCTCAGGCTTTGGGACCTCGAGGGGCTGCGTTAGCAGCTTTCCAGAACCCGACAAGCCAGTGTTACTCGGTATTCAGACCTAGGTTTGAAGAGGAAAAGAATACCTAGTGCCTGTACCTGCTAGAACAGAAACTGCTTGTTGGCTGAGCTCCCCAACAGTTAAAGCTGCAGCCAGATCAGCTTTATCCTCTCCCTGAATTTCCACGGAGAGGGTTGGCTGCGCTGTGAAGTCGAGGTCTGCAGTTTCTGTGCTTTCAGGGCTATCAGACTGATCTGCAGGGAGGCAGCCTCGGAGGAGAGGAGCAAGACCCACCTCCCCTTTCCCCTCCTGCCTTCTGGACGAGGGACAGACAATCAGCTTGTCCCTCAAGCTCTGCTTGAAGGCAGCCAGTCCCATTCCGCTGTCACGGTTTGTGCTGGGTGATGCCGGCTATGTGCGCAGCAGAATGGGAGTCGCTAGCAGAACCAGGAGATTAAGGTGGATTTAGAAAGAAAGTTCTATTTTTTTTTACAGTTTTGCACATGCCTATTTTCATTCCTGCCTTTCCTCTCTGATTCTCAGTGTTCCTTCCTCTCCCAAGATGCTTTGTCCCCCTATCCAGCGTGCCCCGTCCATCTTGGCGCAGTGGGCTGCTTCCCAGCAGAGTCTCGGTGCCCACCATTGTCCTCTTTCTCCAGGCACTGACATCCTGAAGTGAGATCACCAACAGTTTTCTCCCCTCTTGCCCTCCCTCCCTGGGAACTGCCCCATGCCTGGAAACTGTCCCTCTCCATGGATCTCTTTTCCAAAGAGCAGTGAGGTTGGGAGCAGGGACCAGAGCATAAGCTCGTTAGTGCCAGAGGGTCTGTTAAAGCTGCTGGTAATTAATTAATCACCACCTGCCTTGAGTATCTCGCAGATCTCTCCTGTAGATACTATTGACACCTTGTCAGTGTTTGTTAATACCTGGAATGCTACAGTGGGAAATAGAGCTTAAATAATTCTGTCTGATAGGTGTTTTCAGCTCGAAATTGGGGAATTTTAGGGACAAGCAGTGGCATGGGAGCTGCAGCTGAGCAGGGAGCCCTCAGAGAATTCATCTGACTGCCTTCAGTGCCGGTGGAAAGACTGGAGATGGGTCCCTGGTAGCAGTGGTGCGGCCCATCGCTATTGCTGCAGCTTTCTGGAGCTCTGTGAAGGCTCCTGCTCACCTGCTCTGCTGCTCTCCGGGCTGTAGGACAGCACCACCTATTTTTATCTGCTCACTAAAGCCTGGGCTGAGACCTAACAACTCATTGTAATACACCCACCGCCTTGAAAATATCCAGGAAGCAAAAGGTCCTGTGTTCTGGGATTGAGCTCAGCCACTCGTTGGCAAAACAGGAGCATTAGAGGAACCAAATGCCTTTGTTTCTGCTTGCTCTTGTGTCAGATGTTGTCAGCCTGGCTCCTGCCAAGGCTCTGGTCCTTGCCACAGACTTTTTTGGATGAATCCCAGTAATAAACTGTAATTTTAGCAACTACTGAAGGGCTCTAGCAACATGCTGTAGAAAAGGCAAACTGCAGCTGCTTTAAATAGACACGTGGCTGCCTTTCTCGAGTGGAATGGTGGTTCACAGAGTGTGGTTTTGGAGTTGCTGGGGTGTTCTTGTGAGGATGAAGCCCCTCAAACCCACCCCTCTGGCACCACTTTCTATCAGGTTGTCCCCCCCCGGAGTCTGGGTCGCAGGCTGAGGGTGGAGTTAGGGTCTGCCGCAGCACAAGGCTTTTTTTCATGCCCAGTGTGATCTGGAGTGAGGTGACACCCAACCAGCACCTCTTTGCTGCCGAAATCGTCGCAATTGTCTGTACGGAGTGTCCTGGCTCCAGCCAAAGTCCTGGTGCAGCCTTCAGCTGGGCAGAACTGGGGCAGACTTCGGAGAATCATGGAATGGTTTGGGTGGGAAGGGACCTTAAAGCACACCCAGCCCCACCCCCTGCCACGGGCAGGGACATCTTCCCCTAGACCAGGTTGCTCCCAGCCTCATCCAGCCTGGCTTTGGACACTTCCAGGGATAACTTGAGCTCAGTTAATGTTGGCAACACCTCCATCAGGGTCCACCCTAGCTGAAATTGTTCCTTCTTCGTGGATGCAACAGGAATTCCGCAGTGAATTCATATTCTGGAGCAGATGTTGCTCCCAGCGGCGTGGGGACCGAACCGTTTCCAGTGGTTGTTTCCCAAGTGGCATTGGTTGAGTGACATTGTTTCCCGGTTGGTTGTGGGTGAGCGCCGTGAGGAGCCAACAGCACTGCCCTTGCACACCGAGTAGCTTTCCCCAGCGGTGACAGCACAGCTTGCAGCAGACCTTACCCCCTAATCCCGCTCTTCTGGGCTGCCCCTGCCTGTGTGAGCACCCTCAGCTTCACCTCCAGCCTCTGGTGCTGTGCCAGTCCCGATTCGGGCGGCGCTCGGTGTCCCCATCCTCTTGCGCCAACGCTGCCGGAAGCGTTTTGACGTTACAGGCCCCGGGGATGAACACCGCTGCTCTGACAAGGTGCTAAACTCTGCTTTTAACACCAGGCAGTGACGAGCGCTACCGGCTGAGCTGGCTGGGGAAGGGCAGCCATGCCGGAGGATGCTGAGCAGCCAGGTTCCTTTAGGAAGAAGATCCCCACTTGCATAGGGAAGTCCTGGCGTACGCTTAAAGCACCGGGACTTGGGCTGAGCTGCGCCTGCTTTTGGTGGCGTGAGAGGAAATCTGAGTTCCGATGCTGGTTCCTCTTGGTTTGGGTGGATTTTTGTGCACAGGGGATACTTCTGTATCTAAGGTGGAGCTTGGGCAGCCTGCTCTGTGCCTCTGTGCTAGTCTGACCTGAGTCGCAAAAGCTTTAATCTTGGCATTGGATTTGCCTCACTTCAGCCGTTTAACGCCCGTGGAGTTCAGGACCGCTCGATGGATACAGAACTGGCTGGGTGGGCACACTCGGTGGTCAACGGCTCGATGTCCGAGTGGAGATCGGTGACAAGTGGCGTTCCTCAGGGGTGGGTGTTGGGACCTGTGCTGTTTAACATCTTTGTCGGTGACATGGATGACGGCATTGAGTGCACCCTCAGCAAGTTTGCCGACGACACCGAGCTGTGTGGCACGGTCGACACGCTGGAGGGAAGGGATGCCATCCTGGACAGGCTGGAGAGGTGGGACCATGCCAACCTCATGGAGTTCAACCAGGCCAAGGGCAAGGTCCTGCACCTGGGTTGGGGCAATCCCAGCACAAGGACAGGCTGGGTGGAGAGTGGATAGAGAGCAGCTCCGAGGAGAAGGACTTGGGGGTGCTGGGGGATGAAAAGCTGAACATGAGCCGGCCGTGTGAGCTGGCAGCCCAGAAAGCCAACCGTATCCTGGGCTGGATCCAGAGCAGTGTGGCCAGCAGGGCGAGGGAGGGGATTCTGCCCCTGGACTCTGCTCTGGTGAGACCCCACCTGGAGTGCTGCGTCCACCTGTGGAGCCTCAACATCAGAAGGATATTGACCCCTTGGAGCGAGTCCAGAGGAGTCCACGAGGATGCGCCGAGGGCTGGAGCCCCTCTGCCATGGGGACAGGCTGGGAGAGTTGGGGGGTTCAGTCTGGAGAAGAGAAGCTCCGGGGAGACCTCAGAGCCCCTTCCAGTGCCTGGGGGGCTACAAGGAAGCTGGGGGGGGTTTTTTGGAAGTGTCCAAGGCCAGGCTGGATGAGGCTTGGAGCAACCTGGTCTAGTGGAAGGTGTCCCTGCCCATGGCAGGGGGTGGAACTGGATGGTCTTTAAGGTCCCTTCCAACCCAAACTGTTCTGTGATTCTATGATTCTAATTTTGGGTTCTTTTCCGCTCCATAGTGAGAGACAGGTGTCTTAGGAAGAGCTCCATGTTTTTCTGCCTGCACTGAAGGCAGTGGGAGCTCATCAATTCACCAAGTTAGATACCTGAATGTGAGAGAGTTCAACCACGGTGAGCGCATGTCCGCGTATCCTGG